ACCACCTCCTCCGCGAATAGCCCAGAAGAGGTCCTCGTGCTGAAAAGCATTTGCGGTGACAAGCTCGCCCGCTGGGGTGACTATCTCCGCTTCGATGATGTTGTCTGCGCCCATGCCGTATGTGCCTGTGGCCAGGCCATGCCCACCACCGGTCGCCCAGCCCACGACTCCGACGTCCTAGATTTTCTGTCAGGGGCCCTGTCTCAATCCTGCGAGGGATTCTCTTGCTTACCATGTTTGTTCCGCCGACAGCCGTAGCATTGTGTTGAGCAAGTGCAGCAAAAAGTTCCCCGTCCTGCACACCAGCCCCAAGAGTAGCAGCCATCGTCGTCAGATTCGCAGTCTGTGCGGACGACCCGACCTTACTGTATTGGTGAGGCTGGAAGTGCTTGCGAAACTCAATCTTCTTCAAGTGATGAGTCCAAATGCTTTACCATCTATTAGCAAAGACTGTAGCAAGTATTAGAAATCAAATTAGATCAACTCACGACAAACTCCCATGATTAATACTGCGTTCAGAACCATGGCCCGTATTCTTGATATTCAATCGCAGGTTCCACTCCTTCGCAAAATGAAACCCAGCCTGGATATGACTGGCATTGGTGGCATTGATCACATAGACTGGGTAATTACCAATGCTGCAGCCTTCCCGCTCCGCATGCACATTTCCCGTGATGCTAGTTCCATCAGGATAGATTGGATTGCAGCTGTTGTTGGACCAGATTGGGTCATCGACGCTGACTGGGTCTGAGGAATGAAATCTCGATGTAGTCCAGTTGCCCAAGACGGATGTACAAGCAGCTGGGTTATAGTTGGGCTCGTTAGGATAGCAGACGGACGCTGCTGGCACCGTTCGGATAAGTCTTCCGGATACGGTTTGGTTGAGAGAGGTCCATTCATCTGCAGATGGCCAGCACGGGTCGGAAGGGGACTGCAGGGGTAACGAATGTCAGAGTACCAGTCAGTAAACCACTGTAAAGTAAAACTGGGAGGTAGTTTGAGGTTGTCTGAAAACTCACACATTTGCAGTCTAGGGCGCTGGTTATGCCGCTGACTGCTAGAATAAGCGTTGCGAAAAGGCTGGTACCACAATACATGATATGATATATACCCTGTTCTTGAGCCGATGGCAGTACTTGTTAGGGAATTTGATAGAGGTCGCATGAGGGTTTATATAGTAGTCCTCCAGCCCTATGATCAGGCTGCGGAGCATAACTACAATACTACATACCTTCCGTTCGTTCAGTTAGCCTAATCAGGTAACAAATATACGAGAACGAGCGATCGGAAACAAGTGGGGCAACACAAAGTCCGGGGTTCAAGGGTCCAGAGACTCTCGCACTTCTCCCCATAAGATATTGGAACGAGTACGAATGAAGATCTAGGTCGGAATTGCCTTGAAGTGGAGGTTGAAGGCTTCAGGCTGCAGCCTTGAATCCAGTCTCAGTTCCCCGAATCCACATGTAAGGGTTCTCAGTAATATCTTTAGACCACTTTCTGTTTATAGCCTAGAACTCCATTTTCCTTTCTTCTTTTACTTGTCCTCTTTGGGGGTGAAGCACTACTCACTGCTAGGCAAAAGAGTTCTTGTGACATGTGGGAGATTACTATGAGCACATGTTACAGTGATGAATCTGTTGAAACCAAGGTCAGAATCGAAGTTGTACAATGCTTGACTTCTTGCTATTAGAAGGCAACCAAGAGATGAAATCAAGATTTCCTATATCCATAGAGGCATAGAACAAAAAAAAAAAAGAACAGTCAAAGATCAATAAAAGCATTAACTCATACTTCAGCCGATGAATGGAGTCAAACAAAGCAAAAAAGGACCGAACGCGGTTCGAACGCGTGACCTCGGGATCTGCAATCCTACGCTCTACCACTGAGCTACCGATCCAAGTTGTGGAACACGTCAAAATTGGGTACTATAACCTACAATACCAGATTTTTTTTTATCTAAAGTCCACAACATGGGGTTGTACATCACAGCATCATAGAAGGATACACTGGAAATATGATGGTAGTACAGAGTTTCGGTTGGGATGTTTGATAATTTTTCTCTACGACTCAGGCTTTTATATTGATTGAATAAGGACACGAAGGCACGTCAGTTCATTTGTCTACTAATCACTATTAACCCTGTTGTAACGTCTGGCTGAGGTGTTCTTCGTCACTGCAAGTGATGGCTATACAGAAAATGCTAGTGCGCAAAGCGGAAATCCAACCTCTTACTTCCTGTGTCCGTCGTATTCTGCAGATAATCCTGCCGTTCCTATGTGGGTAAGTTAGCTAATCATTCTGCTAATTCCCAGAGAATAAAATAACACTTACCTCTTCGGTCATTGCGTTCCACACGCGCTCCCTGTGCTTGTTTCTATAAATATAGTATATCTTCGTGCCAATAAAGAGCAATATAGCCAGGATATTAATCCCTATGAGAGTAGAATTTCCGCGATGGTATTTGGGCTTATCGTCCGCACGGTAGATGTTGTTGCCGATGATGGCGCCGAGTTGCACGCACACTGTTGTCAAAAGTTCATTAGCAAGCACTCTTTGTAGTATAGTAAGATGGAAGAGATTAGCTCACTGTTATAGAGTGCGGCTGAAATTGTCCGTGTTCCCACGTTGTTAGAGTTCTTCGAGCACCATCCCACCAGGATAGCGTGGCAGTACGGATAGCAGAGTAGCACGGTCACGGTGGCATAAGTTCCCCATGCGTTGGTCATTGTACCAGGCCAAAAGCGGAGGGCAATAACACAGGGTAATGTCCATATGGATTGGATCATTGACACCAAGGAGCGCTCTTTAAGCCAGTCGCTGAGACGGGTGAGCAATAGTAGACAGATGATGTGGCCGACGCTGTAGGGGATGGTAAGAAGGTTCGTAGTGAACTGTTTCATGTTAGCATGCTACACTAGATCTGTAGAAGTCATCAGGCTTACAGTGCCAAATCCCACACCCTTGAGGATTAGGGTTATGTAGGACGTCATCGGTGTCTGCGGGATATAAACTATTAGGCCAAGGAGGTAGATCGGCCAGATGTCATAGTCTCGGAGGGAGTTCCAAAGACGACGCGGAGTTATGGCTTGCCGGTTGTGCATGTCTCCTAAGGAATGTGAGAATGATTGTCAAAGGTTCAAAGCAATGGTAACGCAAACGTACCCTTAGAGGGGTCATCGCGCAGAACCCGGTTGACCACGATGCTGACTTCACGGTCTGTAAACCAGCCCTTCGGGCGGAACCATTTCTTGGTGTCGACAGCAGAGGCAGGCATGCGAAAGAAGGAGCTTAGACCAATAAGAAGAGTGATGAGACCTTCGATTAGGAATAGCCACCTGTAGACTCTGTTAGACCTGTAAGGGGTAGGAAAACATGGCACGTACCTCCAGCCAGCCATGCCCTGTACACCGCGCATGTGGAGGATGCCGAATGCGAGAAACGAAGTAATAATAGTAGTTAAAGATAGCGCAGTCCAAAAAATACTATGATTGTCAGTAATGGGCTGAGATAGCGAAGACAAAAATTACCTCAGGCGGGTTGGAAGCTCTCGGCTTGTGTAAAAGTAGGATAACCAGAGGACGATGTCGGGAATGAAGCCACCCTATAGAAATCAGAATAGAATACCATAACTTCAATTCGTCCCAATTACCTCGAGTATCCCCAACAGTGCTCTCGTTGCATAAAAGGATTTCTTCCCGCTTAAAGCAGCCTGTGCAGCAGCAACAATTGACCAGATGGTCATCTGCATGGGAATCCAGCGATCGGGGCCAATTTGCTTGGACACCAATTGTGAGGGCAGCTCGGCCAAAAGGAAGGCGACAAGGAAGATGGTGTTTCCAGTATTGTAGTCTGCACACGTCAGAGACCTAGTAATCCGAAGAAGCGATGCGCTCACCATTCGTGGAGAGACCAAGATCATCCAGCAAATTGTCCGACACAGCTTGTACAAGGTTTCCTCGGTCAACCTGAAGACCGAAGAACATCACACACTATCCTCTGTAGTGAGCATACTTTCAAGCAAAGCAGAATCACCTTGACCTACAGCCCATAGACACACCCTCCAGTCCAATTTCCGGACGAGCGCTTTCTCTTCCTCCGCTGTCCACGTAAGCGTAGGGTCAAAGACATGTCGACACTCATACTGCGCTTTCTCATAAATGAGAGCATAGCGCTCCGCAACCTCAGGGTCTGCGAAGGGATTATTATCAAGGGTCGCATCTGTCGCATCTTCATACGGGCGTGTATGAACCTGGGCTTTGTCCTTTGGAGAGGGAAGGTCTTGCGAAGAGTCTGAGTAGTGCCGCTGATCGAAGTGATTGGCAGTCTCTTGACTGACATCCTTTCGAGATGCCATGTTGCCAGTAGTAGACAGAAATCTGCATTCTCCCAAGTTTTTCCTCGTCTTAGGCCGCGATCGGAAGCTTTAAAGGATACAAGCTGCGAGCTCGCAGCCACCAACTCAAAGGCACGCCATTTCCAAGATATCTCGCGACGAGAGATAACGGAGCATCAATGCAAGGACTTCCTCATGGCAGGCCACTCATGTTCTGCACTCCATACCGCGTGTGATCAGATACTAACCACTCTAAGCGAGGGCCCTTTATGCATGGTTAGATCGAGAGCCATTTCTTGGCTAGTTAGCCGTGTTTTCAAGTCGTGATCTAGGGCTTCAATTGCTTCATCGGGAGTGTGTCGGATGGACCTCTGAACGTGCAAGAGCCATGCAATAACGATAGCAATAATGATATACCATGATAATCTCGAGTTTGCAGAGTAATTTTCTTGCGACGCAGTTTACATTCATATTGCAGTTGATCAATGCTTCTAAGCGAAGCGGGAGATGGTGCATTGGTGAAAATGGCGTCATCCGGAGGGGTGCAGTTGCGTGATGAGCCTGCCAGTTGGCGAGATCGGGAAGATAAGCAGTTCTAATTCCCCATTCGACCATGAGTAGTGGGAAGAATCAAGTTCCATTAAAGTAGCGAGAATAGCACGTACGTCCTAACTTAAAAATGTGAGCATTGCTATTTGTTGGTATTACAGACTGATTTGGTTCATTCGCTTCGACCTCGGCAGAAAATGTTTCTATAGCCGACATGCTCTACCGACCAGTCACTCCTCATGGACCCAACCAAGTATCCTATTTGCCTTTTCAGCCGTGAAGAAAGACTGATTTCCTTTGAGCTCGCGCCGAATCTCGGTATCGGGATAATACTTCTTCGCAAGCTCAATCGACGGCGTGTCCTGTGTCGTTGTCGGAGCAACAACATTGAATATCTCGCACCCATTAAGTTTCTCAGCCTTCTCCACAGACAATAAGCAGGCTCTCGCAGTCGCATCCGGGCTCACCCATCCCCACAGGCTTTTGACAGCTGAGTCCTCCCAATTCTCCTTGTGTCCTTTCTGTGCCTCCTCGCGGGATGCCACGGCATGGATACGCATACACGCGATTTTCATTCCGGGGAACCATCGAGCAAATGTCCTCGCTTGGGTCTCAGCTTCTTGCTTGGCCAGTGCGTAAGAATCTGTCGGATTGGGTGGCGCTTCTTCGTCAACGGGGAAGTATTCAAATCTGAGCGGTTGCGTGGCATATTCGAGACCGATCGCATTCACTGACGACGCGTAGCAGAATCGTTTAATTCCCAGTTGCGCAGCGGCGTAGAAGCCATTGAATGCCGATGTAACATTGTTGTTATGAACCAGTTGGTCGTCCTTCCCAACGGGGTCTGGTATGGCGGCAAGATGAATGACGGCGTCACAGCCTTTGAAGGCTTCCAGTGTGGCTTCGTAGTCATTGGCCGTGTCGGCGGTCTTCATCTCGGAATTGGGCGTTCCATCGTACTCGGTATCGGTTCGGTCAACCTGGACTGTGGAATGGCCGGCCTGAGAGGCTTCTTTGACAACAGCGCGTCCTACGGTGCCGCGGGCACCGGTGATAGCGATTTTCATATTAGTGGTTGGATTCAGGCTGGAGAAATTCCTGCGGTGGATTTGGCGGATCTGATATGGGATTTGCCGTGAGAGAAGTCGGGAGGGAGCTATGTGCACCAAAAAATGGGTCAATTGCAGAGGAGTTGACATATTTATCTAGGGATCTGACGATGCAGGAATATTCGCATACTGGTGGACCTGATAAGAAGATGGTGGTCTGAGTCCATGACGTGAATATGATGGTAGCGAGCAATTCTCATGGCGGTGGTTACTGCGACGCCCATGACGCCAGAATGACAATCCTGGATCTCGGCACGGAGCTCACCCAGCCTACCATAAACTGTGCTTCATATTGCAAAAGCAGGTGTGCCTGGGGTAAACCATTCTAGAACGTCTGAAATGTATGTGAAGAATAATGATGTGGTGAATGCGGGAATCGAAGATGTGATGTCATTCCGAGGGGATCGTCTCCATCGTTCTGATCCCAAGCCTAAGGCAACGACACCCGTGTCAGCCTTACCCGATGGACTTGTTGTCCCTCACCTTCCTGATGCTGGGAACATCGCATAGCGGAATGGTCTGCCTAAATACTTCTATAGAGACTATAGGGCACTTGATATCTGTAGTTGTTCCCCAGGAATGATAGCCGATGTAGTGTCGATCGCTCGGATAAGTTATCATTCCAGCTACACGCTCATTGTTCTACAGTGTCCTATTGAGGTCATCTTTATTTATGAGAAAGAAGAAACGATGGAGTATGGCAAATGTTCCAAATTTTACAATGGAACTGTTCTGTGTGATGTAATTCGGTATGTGCGAGATGGAGGCCCAGGTAGAAGATCTCCTGTTGCCCTCCCTCTAAAACACGGTTCATAGACAGAATCTTGGCTCACGAGCGAGCGATTCCATCATAGATAACAAAGAGTGTATAATACATCAACAAAAGAAAGGTAGCGAACGAGTGGATAATATCCATTATATCCTTATAAGCCGAGGATATGTGACCGATGGGTGACTTGAGAATATTCCAAAAGAGCGTGGGATTTAGGCTTGGTGAATAACGGCAAAGCCTCAGGCCGCTTCTTAGCATCTTTACCATCAGAATTATGGCTTCGCGGCCGACCCGTTGGCTTGTGGCCCAGCTTGCTGAGCAGCCGCTGCATGCATTTGGGCGTTCTTCTTCTTCCTTCTGTGTGAGTTGGGCTTGTTCTTTTTTTTAGGCTGAGCGGGCTGCTCTGCCGGTGCTGCCTGATTTCCAGGCGCCGGCTTCGGGAGTGGTACTGACTTTAACTCTGGCTCCGTTTTGATCACGGGCTCGGGTTCTGTCTTTCGTTTGAGGTCCGGTGGAGGGAGGGGTTGCAATGGTGGCTGTGTCTGCGGCTGCGCCTCGGGCTTTTGCTCGGGCTTTGGCTCAGGTACGGGCTCTGGCTCTTGTTCCAGCACCGACTCGGGTCTTTGCTCTATCTCCAGCTCTGGCTTCTGCTCGGGCTCTGGCTTTGGCGTTTGCTCTGACTCAAGCTCCTGATCTGGCTTTTGATCTGTAGTTGGCGGCTCCGTCTCTGGCCGAAAGCTTGGTTCTCGCTCTGGCTCTGGATCCGGATCTGCCCAGTCTACAGTCTCTCGCCTAATCAAAGGGGGCGAAGGAGCAAATGCCGGAAACTCCCTAGGGGGAGAATCACTGCAAGATGACGCCCAATTGTATCCATTCTGGGCCGGAGAGGCTAAGAAAGCCGTTGAAGGTGGGATCGGCGATTGGGGCCGTGAGTTCACAGCATTTACGACAGTTGGCGTGTCATCTGCGGAAAGCGGCTCATTGGAATACCGCGGCGAGCTCTCATCCTTATCATCCGGAGATTCGGTGGTCGACTGCTTTTCTTCAGCAGGACCTTTCTCCTCAGAAGGGATTTCTGCATGGCCGTTGGTCTGGTGGTGTCCGTTCGGTGCGGTTTCCCGCAGCGAAGTCAGTTTATCCGCGTAGATCTCCAAAGTCGTGTACATCAAAAATCGGTTGAAATCATCATCAGAGCCCAGGCCGTCGCGCACGACTCGGTACCTGAAGCTGAATTCATCCTTTTCGAAAGCAGCAGCGAGCTTGTCCCGGATGAAACTCTCAAACCATGAATCGTGGCCTGGAAGTTCCGAGTACACCTTGCTAACAGTCTTCAGAAGTTGTCGCGTTGACACTTCTTCGCTGAAAGTCAGCATATACCGTTTAGCGTGTTCCTCGAGTCCGAAGATGCTGTAGCGCCTCGCAGCATGATAGGCATAAACGCTGCGCTCGAATTCGCGAGCCCAAGGGCAATTCTCCGGGCCAAGATCGGTGGGCTTGAGTGTTTCATAGCAGCCGGTGCTGAGAAAGTGAATGAACGTATGTCCAATATCTTCGTTGATGTCGCTGATATGGAGTTCCGATGAGTTGTGTGATAAGCTTGAATAAGGGCGCAGGTGGTATTCAGCTATCTTGAAGTGGGTTTGACCGATGACAACGGTGGCAATCGGTGTCGTGTAGCAGCTGGATAAGCCCCAAAGTCAGTAGATACACCAGGGAGCAATGCGCAATGATTTGATTGACCTTATCTCCGGCTGAGGGTATTCTGTTATCGGGATCTCCTGAACTTGTGCGTCGTTTTCCTGAGAGCGCAGGAGGTTGTAGTACAGCCGCTTGTAGTTCTTCTGGCCCATTGTGTCCATCAATTAGCCCAATGGCTGATGAAATGAGTCGATAAGCTGGTTGAGGTGGGAAGGTATGAGAACTGAGGAATGTTTGTGCTGCTGCGGCACGGATTGATTGTCTTTAAGAAAGGGATGAAGGGAAGGGCGGGTGAGTGGATCTCTGAAGTCTCTCGAAGCCAACTCAGAGCCGCCTGGACTAGCGCCCAGAAACCACGTCAGTTGCATATGTAGATGCAAGGTTGTCTTCATAACGTGTTTGGGAATGCACGAAAGTTGTGTGCATCTGATTGGGATGGCGGTGTTCCGGGTTGAAGTGGGTATGAGCTGGCAAGAACCCAGACCGCAATCGGGGAAACAGAAACACATCGGAGTGCTGTGCTGGACTGGCGATCAACCCATTGTGATGCTATTCTGAGGGCCCTGAGAGAAGTTTATGATCTATAATGGGCTTCTAGTAGCCTCGTCAGATTTAGGAACCCGATTCGCCCATTTTCTCTCACAGACACTGTCGAATTGTGCCTTACGACAACCAAGCCTCGTCTTCGCCGGGCCGCCCAATGTCTCGGCGCCATGGTTACTCGGTGTCGTAGCTGCATGAAGAGCATTGCGAGTCCAGTGGTTGGAGCAAAGTCAATTGCGCAGGTTGCTGCATGGAGAGGATGTGAGTTAGTATGAAACAGAGGAGTTCGAGGGAGATCATGCTAGAAATTCAGGCATCGGTGACGGGCGCCCGCAGTGGAGACGCGATCCACATGACAGCAACGTCCTCATAGTCGGTTGGTGCACGGGCGCATCTGCTGGAGTTTCTTGACTTTCTTTGCAACACCGCCACCGACTTGTGGGATAAGCGCCTGGTTGTTTTCTCATCACTACGAGCGTCTAACTCATCGCAGTGAATTTCCTGGATTTTGCACCGAAAAGTTGGTTGATTCGTATAGTTATCCCTCAGTGTTATCTGTATATCCTCTCCTCAACCTCTACCGCTATCTAATCAAATATGTCTAGAACCCAGTCATGTATGTCTACTCGCCTTTCACTTTGGATGTGCGATGCACCCAAACGTATACAAACGGATAGACCGTTTCAGGCAGCAGTGTCCACAAGATAATCCCTGTACTCCACACCGACGCCACATATTCCCAGTTTTGTGGCACATTCCAATACCTCCAGAAGAAAACCCCGTAGGCTGTATAGCAGCCCAAGTATCGCATGAGCCTAGTATCCCCGTCAGCATCTCTCATAGCGGTGTAAAACGCAAGCAGGCAATTGCGAACCGCATACCAGATTTCCAACGAATGACCTTTCGTATTCCACTCCTTCCACAGCGTCGCCAAACAGATCCAGCCGATCGGCATCTGTAGCAGAATTCCCGTCCAGTATGCTGTGACCTGCTCCCTTTCATCGGGCCACAGCATCGTCAACCCTTTCAGTACGCCCATGCCTGCCAGGACGAAGCCTACTATTCTCCGTACTAACCACGCCCGGTCGCGCTTTTCGTGTGCTCGCCAGATTGCCACTGCGACAAATCCTACATCAAGTAGAAACCAAGCCAGGAATGCAAGGAGCTCAAAGGTGGTGGTTGTGGTCACCACCGCGTAGAAGAGTTCGTAGGCAAGTGTCAGGCTCATGAATTGGATCCCCTTAGCTGACGCAGACGGGTATGTCCGGTCACTGTACGTGCGAATCATGCAAAATATGTAACAGAAGGCGTAGAGAATTCCACAACTAATTATAAGACCATCCTGAACGAACAGGTAGCTCTCAGGTGGGGAGAGAGCAGCGTCGGAAGGCTGTATTATCAGATGAGGAGTTTGGCTGGCGAGGGTAAACGAGGGCATAGTGTCCTGATGGTCTTTCCCTCCCGGTGTTATAGCATCGAAGCGAGAGATGTGTACAGAACCTGGTGCCTATATGGAGTATTATTGAGAGGTTAGCAGAGGTTAGGAGGGGTATCTCTGCGATAAGAATTTATAAAGCCTATTGATCGATCGGCTTGCCGCGGATACTTCTTCAGTACTAAGATCGCAAATGCGGGTCGGCTAGGAACCCTCGGGATGATGTCAGTGGTATGCGTACGGATAAGCACTCTTCCAGTTGGATAGTCAATATTGACTCTCTGTGTTTGAATCAGTGGAGAGAATTGATTAGGATCGTGGAAGACCAAATTATGACCAAGGGTCTGAAGGAAATGGAATCTTACCATCGACCTCTTATTTCTCTGCCTAACACGCCTCTCTAACAGCTTCAACACTGTGGCTCGTGATCGGGAACTAATTCCTGTTGCCTGGAATCAGCGTACTGCATTTCATCCGTCAATCTAGATTTCTTCCAGGGTGCAGATTGCTTCTAATCTCTGATACTGCATACTCACAATGGAAGCGACAAGATGGCCACCCCGGAGTACTGTTCCACTTTCATCGTAAGCTGTTGCGGCCATCACATTAGCCCCTATCAGCGGTGTTCTTGGTGAACCAATGCGACTGAAGTGATGGTTGTTGATGGTTGGAGTGGACACAAGAAGGCTTGGGGTTGGCGTTGGGAAAGTGGAGGCCTGAGGTATACAATAGTAGGATCATATCATCTCTCCACCTTCTATCTTCGTGAAGCTTACCCCATACACTTAAGAGTCCCACAAAATTGACCTTGCCGCTCATAAAAGTTCCCGACTGAACTGTTTGCGTCTTATCCCATATTGCGTTTAGATTCTCTGCAGTGCTCTTCTTTCTTATAGCATGCTCACTTGTTCCTCTCCGATTCCAGGCACTGTGGGAAAAGACTACGATAGTGTCGCGTCTGAATGGTATCCCGTATCTGCCCCCAGGATGACCCTACCACACGACTCGTCTTACTCGGAAACCAATGTGTGTATATATACAATCGTCAATAACATGATTTATGTTTCGCAAATACAGGGATAAATCGTCCTCCCGTGAGGCAGTTGTCATTTGTGGACTCGCTCATCCTTCGGTCGGGGCTCGATGAGCCAAATTGCAGCCAAATCACGCCATCGCGCTAAGATCGCATTTATAAAACCTAACTATTCCCCACAGTCAAGTGAGCATCTGAATCTCACGGTCGATGCCATTGTTTTATCCTATGACGCTCCTGAAGGGAGCGCTGATGATCCTAATGGCCGCGAAAATACCTCCAACCCAAGTAGCCACCTATCCCGGCGACTGTGACTACAAATGTGCCTAGATTGATCATAGCAGCCTTCAAATTTGGCTCCAAATAATCTTCAATGATCTTATGGAACTTGTCTGGCTCATTGCCTCGAGGGTACTTCTCTTCGGGAATGGGCACGTCCAAGAATGGACAGATCTCCTCCCAGCCCAGTCCATCCTCAAGTCGGACCACAAGAAGTCTATCCTTTGGCAGTGTTTCCTTCACTTCCCGGATGCTATTGCTTATAATCAGCCAGTTATCACCGTGAAAGCGAATAGCGACACTCACTATTCGACATAGTTCTTTCGAAGAGCCGCCTCGTTGTTCGGATGGCCGGGGTTTGTGCCGTCAGAATATGCCCAGTACATTACCTCGGCCAGATTGAAAAACTGACCCACTTCCGAGTGAAAGCGCCTCAAAATGTTCAGTGGAAATTTGTGGCCTGCCATGATCGCTTCTCCAATTGTCTTGTTGAACGACTTGACCCATTTGTCAGGCGAGCGCTCAGTCACGATGAATTTGACGTCCGGGTCTTCAATATAACCCGCCAGAGCTCGGAGTCCAATATAGCTTGGTATTTCCATCAAGCACTAATACACCTGAAAGTCAGCACTCGGCTTTATAAATAATTGAAGGATTTTAAGGTCAACATGCGTCGAAACTTCCTATCCATCGATCAAGGTCTGGCGTCTCATATCTCTTGATGCCAGAGAATCGATTATTATGAGCTAGGATGCCCTCTGTGAAAGCCTTGATGTGAGGCTTCCTACCCTTGAGCATCAGGTCAATCATGTGATATGGTGTATATCCAAGCATTTCCAGGGCTTCGTGGAGACCCAGAGTACCCGTTCTGTTATTGACATCCGTCAGTCCGAAAGATCTTCGTCTTGCTACCAGGATATGCCTGTCTGCATCTCACGCTGACAGGAGACTCATTACCTGCTGCAGCTTGCTACAATGAGCCGCATCTTCTTCTTGTCGGCTGGCTCAGCCATCCGGTCAACTTGGCGCGACATGTTCGGTTCTACTACGTCTGCCCACGGTCGGAATTGTGAATGTTGCGAAGAAACTCGAGACGACAGAGGGCCCCCATATTTAACCTGTTTTCTGTCCTAACTCCCAAGACCAGGTTGCAAGTTTTACGACTGGAGACTGAGCAGCCAGTGGGCTCGACGGTAAGGCCTGCAGCTAATTCCTGGTGTCTCTCGGCTAGAGACCGGTCTAACGGCTCGACAGTTACACCTATGAAGAGCCTGCCTACGTTGTCTGCTGTGGAGAAATAATGGCCATGACGGCTCCACATGCCGCCCGTCATGGCCATTTAGGATTCTAGGCATAAGGCTAGCCTGCCGCACGAGGCTTGAGCCCAGAGAAAAAGGTCATCGACGGTACCTTCAGGACTGGACGTGCCTTGCTATCAGACTCGCCGACACACGACGGACAGTTTTTGGAGGACTCTTCATTCAATCACGTTAACAAAGTCATGAATTGAAGGTAAGGTTGCCAGTCTGGCAGCAAATCCTGGTGGTAAGACGGTTCACGCAGGATGGGGAGTCAAGGTGTTCGGGAGGTGAGAATGCCGCATCGACTTAAGGCGTCTTACCGAGTCAGTCGCATTGCATTAACCCCTCTCACCCCACGCCCGCCTCGTAATTGACCTGATATTCCGTTCCTATAGGAGCCTTTTCTATGAGTCCTCTGATGCCGTTATCGCTGCCCAATTTGGGAGATCACTAGCAGCACGTTGTCGAGCCGAAATCCTTCACAACGAAATTGCAAGCCTCGACCCCCAACGGGCAAATTCTCCAGGAGTTGACATGGTACCGTTAAGAAGTCATCCAACTAAGGAGGATTATCTACCGTGACCTAATCGAATATCAGACTGTTCTTGCTGGGGCTGGGCAGCGGATACAGTCATGCGTATTGCAAACTGCCATAGTACTTGAGTACCAGCCCGTCAACCGAGGATCCGACTGACGTTGCCGGGCATCAATACGAATACTATCGGAACCCCCCTCGAACAAGCTGTGCAGCTCACATACTTACACCTATCATCAGCCTCATCCCCCCCCGTTTCTAGCACCTCATGACCCCCGTAAGATAGAAGTCGCCTAGCAACTGAACATGCCCACCAATGTAATAGTATTAAGTCCGGGGAAATCAATCTTGTTCAATTACAACGCGGCCGCGATGATCTCTTTTAAATGGGACGATATATTCCGCAGTACTGACCCACATGCCTAACTCTGAATGTGATGGACCGAACCACAGCAAAAATCACTAAGAGGCAACAGATGGCTCATCTATTACTCATACAGGGAAGAGCAAGACCAGTTTCACTTTGCAATACTCAGTTCAGTGCAGTGAGGGACATATTCTACATTCCCACTGGGACCTGACGGCGAGCTACTATATCTGAGCTTCGACTCTTGACTCTAGACTAAGTTACTGGTACTCTAGCTTGTTGGCTGACAACAGCATCAGCTAGGGAGATTCTACGCCTGGATATCTCGGCTCCGAGTGTAACAAGTCCAATTCGTATCTACAAAAGGACTTAGCGATAGGCAGGTAGGTCATTCCGTAATTTTTGTTACAATTAAAGATTTTGATCTGCCCCAAACCCGTTGGAGCCGGGTTATGCATAATCATGTCAATAATACATATTTGGAGAGAAGGACTAGCTGACCAAGACCCATTCGATATAAGATGCTTAATTCTGGGAACTTGATCCACTCAAAACCCTGTAAGAACCGAGATCCAAGCAGTGACAGGTCAATTGCTCAGATCATCATGGCTACGGACCGCTTCATCACCACCAGTCTCCTCCCAAAACGCTCGCATGTTTTCGCGCGTAATATATTTCAAAACGCGCTTCCTATCTTGAAGCGTGGTGTCTTTCGATTCTATCGTATCCTCAAACATTCGTTGGAGCTTGAACCTGGCGAAGTGACACATCATCGCTACTTCACGCACATCCAGATCCTGCCCGTCTTCACGGACAACCCACACATTTCCAATATCGTGGTTCCAGTACAGAGGAGCCCATCCCCATAAAGGATCAGAAGGGTTGGTTCTCATCATCATGAATGCCACATTCTGATTGCTGCTTGCCCACTGTGTTGCATCCCAGCCGGGCGGGTTAACGTGGAATTCAGCACTTGGGTCTTTCCAGAAAATGAGCGGTATGCCAAGAAGAGCGGAAATCGGCGAATTAGATTTGCCCTGGATAGAAGAGAGATTAATTCAGGTTGAGCGTCTCACGTCAATTGAAACGAACGGCTCCGATGCATGAAGTTTTATCTCCCCATCGCAGCAAATCTTCACGCCCCGAACAACCGTGGGAGCCCGATACTGCAGATCCGGAACGGATTCCCTGACATCCGTGCTTGCATACGTTATAAGGTAGTCCATCAGATGCCGAAAGTCGGAAAGCTGTATATCGGCATAATCTTCTGGGTGGACCTCCCTCATTGCAACCATCGGGCCATTGTACGCATAGGGAGGGCGTGGGGCGCCGGAGGCTCTTACCGAAGCCAGTATGCTTTTATTTGGGGGCGAACCATCGCCTAGATATCTATCGCGATGCAGCAGGGTAACACAGTATCCTTCATTGCGCAGGGCTGATCCAGACAGACCGGACCCTAAATTTCGTCCTCGTACGTCGTTGTGTTCCACATGCATTCTTCCTATACTCGGTGAATCAGGACCAAGGTATGAACGTACGAACGCTTCTGTGCACCACACCCTTAAATCTTCTACATACTGACGCTCCGTACGGATCCAAATCAGAATAGGCTCTGTGTGATGCACTTGGAAGAAAATGGCTCGCTTGTGCTCTGGTGATGGACGGTCAGGTAGGGTAGCAAACTTCTTGCAGAGCAACTTGTGGGAAGAAAAATCGCTTTTCTGGCAATCCTTTGAACAATAATGGGTGCTGCGACAGCGCCCGCATCGCCGGGCTGGCGTTTTATTACACATCACGCAACAGTTATCGGGCTCAAACTTTGGGCGGGGGCGAGTCTTGGTGTGTAAGTCTTGACTCTTGCCCTCACTACGGCATAGTCAGTTATCCAGTCGCGTATGCTTGAAAACCAACAGGGTCGCCTTACATAAGTTGCAGGTTTGTCCAGTTTGTGTTTTGTTCCGCCCTAGCTATGTCTACAATTTTCTGTCTCTGTCGCCACTCTTCCAGCGTAAGTTTCGAGAATTCCGACACAAAGTCCGATTGCATGACGTTTGGTAAGGCCGCTGTCGCCCCCGGTCGGATTATTCTGTTGAATGAACCTCTGATGCGGTTCACAAGGTTGTTCCCTAATTCGGTGGCAGCGAGGTATATAGCATCCGAGTCTAAGCACGGAACTCCCCAGGAAGGATAACACACGCCATGCCTACCCCGGGTCTCAATCGGATTGTGCATCGCAGCCAGGAACGTTTCACATAGAAGACATGACTTCTTGCTACACCCAAAGTATTGCAACATTCTTCGTGGTCCACGGCACTCTTCTTGATAACATATGAGCTGCATTTCAGCATGCAATGAGAGAGACTTGGCACAGGCCTGTTTGAACATATGTCTATAGGGATCAAGCAACTCGATGACTGGTTCGCTTGCAATCCCAAGACCTAGTAGCTCCCAAGCTGTGGCAATATCAACCATGTGTTCCTTTTGCAGTGTCGTCTTCGGCGCGGAAGGCAGTAGAGAAATTTGAGCATGTCGGAGATCTGACTCCCAAAGAGTAATTTCCCGCAAACGCTGACAGTCCGTCAAGGGCCTGGCAACGAATCTCAAACACACCCAAAGCCGTGAGCCAAATTTCGGACCAAGTGCATCCAGGAGTAAGTGGTGCACTTCTGGTGAACTGACGCAGCTGTAAGCCCCTTGCACCAAAATAGTCCTGCAATCCGGGGTCATTCTCTTGCTATCAAAGCGCAGCAAAAGATCAGCCATCGTTGTCCAGGTTTGAGCTGCCGACTCACGTCCAGGCCATGCCCGCGGATTCCAATCCGTGTCACTATGACTATTTGCGTATGTCTTTCGACAGGCGGAAATCCAGTAGTCAACTCGACTAGCGGTGTAGTTGATCGAAGCGGCCTCAGATTCCGTCATAGAATTTGCTGCGATATTTGGCTCTGGTCAGCAGTCACATCCAGTTAGTCATGACTGCGTCAAACTATATCATCCCTCCCCACATGCATACCTTCAGTACTGACACAAGAGGTTAAATACTCTTCCAGCATTCGACAATACTCGAGTGTTGCAGGATCAAAGCTACCGCAATCCGAACCGAATCCATCATTCCGTGCAACGTCCACAGAAAAACTGCCGCTGCTTTCGCGCATTGAAGCTGCAGTAACCCCTTCCCACCCCTTTGACGGCGATAGAAGCTGGCAAATGCAGTCCAGGAACTTCCGCAACACAGAATCTCTCGACGCAGATAGAGCTACGGCTATTGCTGTCGCAGTGTCCGTCTCGTCGTCAACTGCCACTTCAGTCTCAATTTCACTGTCTGTATCACTGGCAACGTCATCTTCGACGTTCTCGACCTGCGCCTGGCTTCTTCCCTTAGTAAGATAGGCGAGAATATGCGCTGCCCAGACAACTCGTGCGATACGCTCTCCTTGAAGGTTAGACTTTTCGGATGACATGTTTGGGTTCTCTACCTCACGTACGGTATCAGTGATAGAGGAAGGTGCGATGTGGTGTTGGACAGATGGCGCGGGGTAGAAAGGCTGGCGCTAATTTGCCAGTCGTCCTCTGACAATACTCTTTCGGCATCATTGAGCCTTGCATGTACGCTTCCTAGTTTCACAGTTTCCCCGACATATAGGCGAAGAAATTGTCCTTTGAGGCAGTGGTAAGAGGCTAGTGAGCCTTGTTGCTTTTGTCGCATGCCAACCGCTCTGGGGGAATCAGCAAATGAGTGTGATTTTTCACCACCATGGCAGGATAGTACTCGGGATCCCCATTGGCCTACAGTAACTACAATTGTACCAGCTAGACCTCCAAAAATGTCCAGCAAAGAGAAGCCGTTCGCTAGATATGCTCATATATTTCTGATGATGTCTGTCTTTCCCCAGACCGGATGTCAATGGTCTGTCCCGCGGCGTTGACTTCCGGCATAATACCTGCATGCCGCATCACTGCAGTATGAAGATAACATCACGGATTGCAACTGCCAATATTCTGGATCCGACAAACAGTCTTTAATGTATGTCTCCCCGTATAGTACAGCTTACAGTCATGCGCACTCAACTACAACCTCATTAGCTAGATCCAGCACTCGCAATGCAGTCTCAAGAAGCCATGGCTCGAGTAAGCCCAAGACAGCACTAGACATGCATGGCGTTGTGGCGTATGTTACGTGGGCAATGGAGGTAAGGAACCGATCCGGAAGGTTTACGACTGATGAGAAAGCCCGATAACAGAAATCATTTGATGCACTGAACGTATATTCAGTAGCTAGACGGCAAAAGAATATGGGCCTGGAAAGAGAGACATGTCACAACGAACATATACACCCGGATCTCTTCTTATGACATCCCAAAGAGTGCATAGATGTTTGCCTCATGACAGAGAGCAGGCCGCACAGTTGTAGATAGCGACTGTGCACAATGTAAAATCAACCAACAAGTAGACCGAGCCACGACCTGCCTTAGTCACGGCAAAGATGTAGCTTCAACCGAGCCTAAAGCTTAGTAGTCGTCACCACGACTAATCACTTCCTTTCCACCACTGTGGAGCAGGATAGTCTGGAAGTTGTTAGGCTTTGGTTGATTATATTGGGCGGGAAACTCTTACGTGTTCAAACTGAGCCGTGTATGAACCCTTCACATCAACAAGCGGCTCATAGTATTCGACAATACCATTATCAATCAAATGTCTCATCTGCATAATGAGTCAGGAAATATTCGACATGTAAATTGCCCCATCTACTTACCCCAAGATGGTATTTCTCCACCCCGAGACGCTCAAGGTACCGACGGCAGAAGACAAGGCTTCCAAAATTGGCGTCGATAGTCTTGAGAAGATTCTTGGCAGAGGAAAGACGCAGGTTTGCACCGGAGACATCGGTGTTTCTGCCGTAGCCATAGACGCCCACCTGAGGAGCTTTAGTATTGCTAAACACATTGAATGAACAGAGACCTACATCATCGTGGAGAACGCCTCTGCCGGTACTTCCAAATGTTTCGATGGCGAAGACTTCACCCTCCTCCATCTTGTCCGGCCTGTTATTCTTGATGAACGGGACCTGTTTGCCACCATGAATATTATACCGAAGAATATCGTGCCCGGTAATATTCCGGATGGCTTTCACAGGATAGGTCTTTCCGGCAACCTCAACCTCGTAGCTTTCCATGACTTCCTGGATCGCCGCGCCGATTTCACTCACTCGGGCGTCAATGCCAGCATGCTGTTGAAGTTAGCTATGTATCTAGAATTGCGCCATGGAAGGTAGACGTACCATGATGCCGGTATTAGTCGCCTCCTTCACAGCCGTCAGGAGGTTGTCGTACGTGTGGTCGAAAGCCACAGTGAAGGCCGAGTCGACGATACGGCCGTTGACATGAACGCCAAAGTCAACTTTCAGCACATCACTCTCATCCAGAAATACATCCTTGGCACCAGGATTTGGCGTCCAATGGGCTGCAACATTGTTCAAGCACAACCCAGTAGGAAACCCCATTCCCGCCTTGAAACCGTCTCCGGGTTCAAGTCCCTGGTGGCCAGACAAGGCGCGGACCCCGTCCTCAATGCCCTCAGCAATTGTAGTGAGACTCGCGCCGGGTTTGATGAGCTCATTCTGGGCGTACTGGCGAACCTGACGATGAATCTCGGCGGCTTGACGGTACTCGTCGAGGAATCCATTATCCCAAAGACGTGAGTTATAACGCAATTCTTCGTCCGTAGTGCGAGAGGTATTATTGTCCTTGTAAGGCACGCACTCCCCAATGGGATATCCCGATGGGAAGAGAGTCGAAACCAGCACACGGGGAGGATTCGATTGCTTGAGTGGCAGGGTTGCTTTCTTGGTCTTCTTCTTGGACCTCTTGCGTTTCTTTTTCTTGTCTATAAGTAGTATATTGTCAGGAATGCAGATGTTAACATGATTGGGGTGGAATCTGAACGTACCAGCATTCGCAGCGGAGGTCTTCACTTCCACTTCTTCGTTCGCTTCACCGTCATCGTCATCGTCATCGCCGAGATTTCCGCCATCCAAATCGGCCGACTGGGAGCCATTGCGGGAAGGCTTAGGGTTGGGATTGGCAGGCTTGAGCTTGGAGGAGTTGGAGCCTAAATGACGCAGACAGATCAGAAGGGGGCTTCTTTAAGCTTCGCAGGTGTCATACCATCAGGAGTCTGCTGGTGGCCTTCGGGGCTTTTCGATCCCATGTTGCAATTTCAAGGCGCGATACTGACATCAACTGTGAAACGATAATATTGGTCTGATGGTGGAAAAGAAGGAAGAAAGACAATGCTGACATTTTATTTCTTTGTCTTGAGTCTAGTCATCCCCGCTCTACTTTAGGATTAGCGCCGCCCCACTCGCCGTAAATACAACCACGGGACCACACTGCGGATTAACAATCTATCCGGGGGATCGGAGCCCTAGGCCATCCATCGATATGGCCCGAGAAGATCATTTCTCAGAACGGAGTTATGCTGGAAACCAAATGCATAATGAAACTGGTGTAGGATTTGGTCCATATTACAGCCGGATGTTGTAATCTATCTTCCAGCCAATGGACTCACTAACAAAAGCGGAGTTTAGTCGCGCCGGACATCCGTCGGAGGTGGCACAGCACACTATATTAGTCGACCTCAACAATGTACTTTCTCTGTCCATCAGGATTGATAGCGGTAATACTAGCTTAATTGCCTGGTACTAGTAGTTTGGGGGTCGTTTCGGTGTCCCGAAGTCGGCTTCTGCTGGGCAGTCTGTCCGTCTCTATTAGGCAACCCAACATGGCAGGGAGTATATCTAGGAACAACGTGCGGGGAAGCCGTCAAAACTACGAATACAATAATTTATTGGACAACCTCCAACATTGTTAACTTACACAGACAAAACAAATACTCAAGAGCGACTTTGTGCTACACACAACCGCAGCAGCGTCTACCTAAACACCATGACCTCCAAGTTTGTCGCAAAACGCAGATGTCTAGGTGACGGGTGTGACAATGAATGTAGTACGCTGCAATGTCCCACCTGTCTCAAACTAGAGATTAGAGGAAGCTTCTTCTGCTCACAAGATTGTTTTCAGCGTAGCTGGGTAAGTAATTACGCCGTATACCCAACGAGGAAAACAAGTTAACAACAACCAAGAAAATACACAAAGCCATCCACCGCGCAAAGCGTAAGTCATCAACGGTATCCGAATCATCAATCTGGGACTGAGAAATATAAGAAACTATTCTGTACAACCCCTTTCCATCATTCAACTTCACCGGCTCGCTCCGACCCGTCTACCCACTATCCGAGCGTCGCGCAGTCCCCAACACCATTCAACATCCAGATTACTGGCAAGGTGGCATTCCACAAAGTGCACAGTCTTTCTATGATCGGAGAGCCAAATTCACCGTCCTAGATAAGGCAGGTCAGGATGCCATGCGGAAGGTGTGTCGACTCGCTCGCGAAGTCCTAGACATTGCAGCAGCTGCCATCAAGCCTGGGGTGACAACGGATTACATTGATGAGATTGTGCACAAGGCCTGTATAGAGCGTGATGTATTCCCACCTCCCCTTTCTCAGAATCCCATAAAAGTCTCACAGAGGTGCTAATGCAGAAGAAATGCAGTCCTACCCCTCCCCACTAAATTACAACTTCTTCCCCAAATCTGTCTGCACCTCCCTCAACGAAGTCATCTGCCACGGTATCCCCGACCAGCGTGTCCTGGTGGACGGTGACATCCTCAATATCGACGTCACGCTTTACCACGGCGGGTACCACGGCGATCTTAATGAGACGTACTACGTCGGGGACAAGGCGAAGGCGGATCCCGATTCTGTCCGGGTTGTCGAAACAGCGCGGGAGTGTCTGGACCTGGCGATTGAGCTTGTCAAGCCTGGGGCGTTGTTCCGGGCTTATGGGGATGTGATTGAAGAGCATGCGCAGAAGAGAGATTGCAGTGTGATTCGATCGTTTTGTGGACACGGTATCAACACAGTGTTTCATTGTTTGCCAAGTGTGCCGCATTACGCTGGAAATAAGGCCGTCGGAGCAGCGAAGGAGGGGATGTGCTTTACTATTGAGCCGATGGTGGCACTGGGAACGTATAGAGATATGATCTGGCCGGATAATTGGACGGCGGTGACGATGGATGGGAAGAGGACAGCGCAGTTTGGTGAGTATATCATGCCTACAAGGATACAACATTATGTGTACTGACACTTTCGCAGAGCATACGCTCCTAGTAACAGCAGACGGAGTTGAGGTTCTGACAGCCAGACTACCAACTTCTCCAGGCGGACCTGTTCCATACCCAGTTGCAGAGTGACAACCAGCAAATAGTATATAGTATCAACCCCATAGATAGCAATACAATACAATCACCCTATCCCCCCCACCACAACCTACGTATCCAACGCCACCCTCGCCTCGGTTCCCCAACTATCCTCCAACACAACCCCAATACAATGCTTAATATGCTCCTCGTGATCAAAGCTAGGCTCCACAATCACACCTTCCAAGTCTCTAACGCGGAACATCTTCCTCCAATAAAACAAACAATGCACGACATGCCAGTCCCTCGTCATTTGCACTCTGGCAGACTGATTATCCGCCAGAGCCGCAACCTCCTCAATAGCCATGGGCACAGTGTGGTAATCGTCTGCGTAGTACGTCCAACTCCCGTCGGGATTGGGCCCAGCGCGCTCGAACTCCGCGGTGAGCTCGTCGTCGCGGCAGTGTGGTGGAAGCCAGGCTGCGGCTAGAGAGTCAAATTTGCACCCTAGGGTGAGGGCTTCGGTAGTGGAGTTGCCGCAGTGACAGGTCTTTGGGGTGGGAGGGTGCGTATTTGTGGGGATGATGGAGAGAATGAGGGTGTGGGCGAGGCTGATGAGGCCCCAGATGGCGAGAAAAAAGATGAGGGTGTTTCGGAGGAGGACAGACTTTGGGGTTGAGAGGAGGAGGGCTTTTATGTGGTTGGAAAAATGGGAGGGGTGGTAGTATTTGGGAGACAAGTTGTTGGTGTTGGTTGTGTTGGGTTGTAGGAGAGCCTCGCCTTCTTCATCGCCTGCGTCTTTGGGAGTTGCCAGCTCAGGATCGGAGCGGGCGTTGGTTACCCTTCGTGCGTTCCTGTGCATTAGTCTCTGTGTATGTAGTGTGGATTGTAGGGAGAGAAGTAATTACCGTTCGTACTCGAAGCCCATGATGGCTAATGGATCGCCAGGATTTTGTGGGTGTGACGAAGGGGATGTAGAATGCAGAGTGCTTCCAAAGGCTCACAAGATAAGTTACTGCGGCACAGCACATACTGCGCCAGTTAAAGAGACCTTATCAAAGTAATATGAAGCTAAGCTATGCCACTACTAGCCTCAATATGGGCCGATATCACCCTCCGAACATCGGATAACCGCGATTGTATCCAGACCTACCTAATCCACCAATCAACCCAAACAATACCATTTACCCTCCCAACCAGTAATCAAAACTTCCTACTCCAAAATAAACGTGACATCCCATTCGCATACATCCCCGAATCCTCATCCGTAGTAGCAATCAGCCTAATTGAAGCTATCACACTCAGCCCCGACAGCCCCACCAGACTAGCATATTAAATGAGGGGTTCGAACCAGTTCGGCGCGATCTGGCCTCCCTTTACCATTTATCGACCTTCCTAATTCATAAAAATGCATGTATCTCCTCTCATGTGGCTGCATGCGTTCCTGTTCGAGTATATGCGCGTTTCGCATGAGTCCATGTGCGTATCCTATCTATGGCACGTGGTTGGTTTATTCGCAGCGGCGAACATGGTGCCCTAAGCCGCTTTGGGTGAATTGTCTCATTATGGAGGCTGTTTCTTTCTGGGCAATATTTCCTCTTTAGAAGGAAGAGTGGAGGTGCTTCGCAATGTTCGCTGTGGTTGGACCTTCTGTTGCTCTTTCGGAGTTACAGAGGGGATTCCGAAAATGGTGCGGTTGTATGGCTACTACTACTAGTTGTAGAGGTTTGGGACTATTGGGCGACAGGGATAAGAAAGTAAGCTAGGGGATATTCATAAGCAAGCGGTATCGCTCAGACTTCGCCGTACTTAGTTCGCTCTATAACTCCCAACACAGGAAACTTCTACTGTTATTTTGGTACTACAATCGTTGCCCAACTCAAGATCCAACCATGAAGCTCTCGGCCATCTTCCTCCAGGCAAGCGCCCTTCTCATCGCTACCACTTTAGCAAGCCCACTTCCGGTACCCGAGGATGGCTCTATCAGAATCCCCGTCAAGGGCGCCCCGGCTGAACGTAACGACGGCTCCATCCGCATCCCTGTGAAGGGTGCTCCTGCTAAGCGGGACGACGGTGTGAGCAGGATTCCAGTCAAGGGCGCCCCGGAGAAGGAAACCTACGGCGTCATCCGGATCCCTGTCAAGGGCGCCCCAGCCAAGCGTGAGGACGGCTCGATCAGAATTCCGGTTAAGGGTGCCCCGAACAAGCCAACTCAGGAGTAGGGACGGGTTGTTGGATGCGTTGCTTATGTACGATGCGTAATGTAGAATGTAAGTGATTTGATATCGTTGAAAAAAATTGCTATGAACAAGGCTTGTATTAACAATCAAAACGCTCAGTCAAACTCTGTTTCCCGACGAACTCCCAAACTCCGAGAATGCGCAATCTGTCCCATAGTGTTTGCCAGGAGGAATTTGAAACTGGCGGTAGCCAAACCAAGCGGAGTTGGTGACTGGAGAAGAAACGGGATGATCTAAACATGAAAACGGGTCATTAGAAGAATGCTATGCGCAATCAGAGGAATGATCTTAGCTCACCTTGCATAAATGTAACAAGCAATTCCTCAAGGACCTCTCTCCGTAATCAAGCCGTATAACTCGTGATTCTTTGCCTTCTCAGCAGCACGCTTGACTAGAATCCCTTCAAGAATGTGAGAAGCCTTCTCAGAAGTTTCAGTGGCCTCAGTAAGCATCTTATTCGCCCTTGGCTTCGTTCCAATCAGATCAGGCAGACGAGCTAGTAAGCGACGAAGGTCTCTGAAGTGGATGTTTGCCAAAGTGTGGACCAGCTCCCGACATACAGCCTCAATTTGAATTTGATACCGTCCTATAAAGACGCTAGCTTCGGGTTGGAGATCTGCAGGGTCGTCTGGCAAGGTCCTCTGTGGCTTGTCCTGGAGCGATAGTAGTAGATCGCAGAGGTCTCTCGACCTTATGGCAAGCTGCTGGATCAAAGCCATGAAGATCATCGAGTTTGTGGCACAGATGTCACAGCTGCCGCAGTCGAGTACCCGAGTACATGTATCGACACCGGTGTGCAAAGACGTCAGCAAGTAATCGAGACGCTCACTGTGGTCGATATTACTCCTTTGGTCGTTGTCGCCTCCAACCCTCTCCAGTGTGTCGGCAAGGGACTGGATACACTTGCAACTCTGGCCCTGATTCTTAGATGGGTCCTGTGATGTGACAGGGGTATGAGGATTCCGAACAAAGACGCTGGGACCGACTCCACTCGAATACGATGTAGCTGGTGACACCAAATGTGAGGGCTTCAGATGTGCCTCTGAGATCAAAGGCGCCGTTGGGTAACAGGGCAAATTATCTTCTAGGGTTAGGTTCAGCCCTGGGTGTTCCGTCGTATTCATGTTGCAAAATTGACCCCAGTCTTGGTAGGAATTGACCAAGACGGGCTCGGGCCGTACGAGTGGTGACTGTATTCTGGGGGTTGGTCCAACTGGCGACGGGCAATGTATACGCAGTGCTCCCACACCATTGGTCCGCCGCCGCTTCAAGGGAAGTGCCGGGAGATCTGAGTTGGAATGTTTCAAGCTTAACGGCGTGGAGGATGCGGGCGTAGGGGTGCGGTACGTGCAATCTGTGGATGATTCTTGGCATCTTTCGCAGCCATACAGATCACCATTGCATTTGAGCTTTACAAGTATTAGTCCCTATCGGAGGTTTGATCGCTATCTGACTGACCTTTTGAGCCCGGCACGGTTCACATGCCTGATGACAACATGTCAGCATCGCCAATCTATGTCGCCCAGACGATTATGGATAGATCACCTACCAGTACAGCAGAATTGCGAGAATCCATACCGACCTTTCTCGATAAAGCAATGAACTCCAGATTCTTAGACGTACTGTTGTTGCAGCGAAATGCACCGAACATTACGTGAATTTCCTTTCAAATATTCTTGAAAGCACTGGTTGAAAGATGGCTGTAGATTTTGTGTTCGAAATAGAAAAGATTCTCATCCAGACCTGAATCCTGAGATAATGTCAATGAAGGGCGGAGCCATCTCCCCTTAAATGTCATCAAGAACGCAATAGTATAGATGCTCTCTCATGCCGCCAGATGATACCAAGTAGGGTGGGTCTAGAATCACAACTTGTCCTGGGGATGATATCGCGCCTTGTTTCCCGCCTGCGAGTTCACTGTGCCGCATACTGCTTGGTGTCTGCCGCTAAGCTAACCGCTAAGAAGTAGAAGCCGCTACTGCAGCTAAGGTTGACCTTCGGAACACCGTCGATAAATTGGACCATTCTGATTGATGGCCTTACGCATGGTGACTCAGGTTAGCCGCCCCGATCCCTGTAGCAGCTGATTGGGAAGTTAAGGCGTCACGCCCACTTGCGTTATCTCGCTACATTGACGGACTCACATTCCCTCGATCGGAGGAGCGGGGTATCCCACAACAATCCTTGGCTCAGCCGTCCGAAGATCCTTTTTCGCCAATTAGGCTCTGCAAATTCCGCTAAGTTGCGTTTGGATGCGGCCCGGAAGCTAATGCACTGTATCCGTTCCACACACCACGCTGAATTTAACGAGATCCTGCCGGACGGCGCTTATGCTTCGCTTTTTGGCTACCCAAGCCTGCTGGCGGCTGAGTTGGTTAAGTGAATGAGAGCGGAAATAGACGCCAATCTCACAATGGTGACATGAATGTGTGGCCATCGGCTGACCCAGACGGTATCAGTGGGCGGTGCTAGGCTGAATGCACCTATGAATCATGGATATGTCTCCGCTCTTCCAAGAACCATCACACCTGTGATTGTGGGATACATCGCACTAAGCGCGCGTAATGGGGACACCTATTGGAATCCAACCCCGACACTTCGTTCCCTCCTAAATTGGATGCACTCCCAAACCTGAAGCGGGGTTTCTATCGCCACCCATCTTGATGGGCTCTGGATGATCAAATGCGGTGTTTTCTTCAATGGACCAAGTAGGACAAGAGTTGCTGCTCTAGCCTAGGATTCCCGAACCAACCCAGGCGTCCCCCGCACATTCTTGCGCGCTCAAGATTGGTTCGAAATGACTCGTCACTCCCTAGACCGGTGTTAGGTGTGTTGGAGAGTTCCTCAAATCATCGCTCAAATTTCCACTAGCAGGCAGTCGGGATGGGATGGGTATCCTGTAACCCAGAACCTATCAGCGTCGTCGAATGAGTCAACTCTTGCAAGATACACGAGGGTCACACTCCCAGCCAACATTAATCTCCGGTTCTCAGTCGGTAACTGACAGCGCTTAGTATTTTGCCCGAGAGCTAAGTCATTTACACTCAGGTCGCTCTCCAGCCAAGAAAGGTGAGGACGATTAGTTCTAAAGTTAGAGAATAAGGGCACATTAATTGTTACTGTCGTCACGTCGAAGCGTTCTGCGCGCGACAGTTGACATGGGAGAGGGGTTACGCTGAAGGTATGTTGTGGCACAGGTAAGCAAACAGCGCGACTATCTATCACCTGACCCATATCAATGTTACGCGTGATCAGAAGCTAATAATTAGGTGTTGATTAATTGCAGTGACTATGCTTTAGATCTTACTGATCACAACTTGTGAATAAAGTATTCGAATAGTCCTTATCATAGAGTGATGGTAAAAGCTTCTAAGTCGACACTGTATTTATAGCATAAATAGCTAGGTGAGACGCTGATGTCTGCTTAGACGGACACTTCTATGTAGATATCATCTTAGATCAAAACCCTAGCTGATCGATGCGTATCACGTTCGATATGGGTAAGAAGCTCTCTCTTTTTCTCCAAATTCTTCTAGGTGTCACTCAGCATGTCTCCGATGGCTGCCTCTTGCTATCACTACTCCCTGATGCATCATCACCATTCTCAATACCTTTAGCTACCCTCTTTACATTCTTCCACTCCATAGCAAGTGTCGGGAACAGGGCCAAACAGGACATGGCTAACGCCAGGACGAATGTCTTCATGATGGCGTCGCTGTACGCTTTAAGAACCACTGGCAGCTTTGCAGGTGGCACCAATTTTCGTATGGTAGTCGCACCACTTGCAATGACCCATGTGGCATAGATGCCCTCGATATCATCCAAGTTTGCTGTAAGGAAGTTTGTGAAAAGGTTCTGCGCAACCGCTAGAAACACTGCCCCATTTAACTGTTGCGAAAACATGAGAAGCGATGCACCGACCGGAATGTCGACAGGATCTAGGCACGTCTGCACAGCGACATTCGCTTGTTGAACACCAAGACCTAGGCCAAAACCGAAGATAACTTGATACCCAATCCATTTGGGGTGGTCGGTATCCGGTTGGAATGTACTGAGTAATCCAGCTCCAATAGACATGAAAATAACGCCTGCAAACATGAAGGGGTTGTAGTAACCCAGAAGGCTGACGAGGGAGCCAGAACCAATGGAGCCTACCACCATGGCGAGCACGAGAGGGAGATTCATAATGCCCGACTTCTCGGCATCGACGTTCTTGATGGCTTGGAACCAGATCGGAAGGTAGTAAAGCATGACCATAGTGCTTGCACTAGTACACATGGTGAACACAATTCCTGCAAGGACTGAACGTTGCTTGAAGATGCGAGGGGGGACCATTGCTTTCTCTCCGAGACGGTACTCTGCAAATGCGAAGATGCTGAATAACGTCCCGAACATAACAAAGAGAAAGATAATGCGCCAGTTGCTCCAGTTGTACGTGGTACCGCCCCATTGAAGTGCAAGAAGGAGACAGGTTACAGCAGGAGCCATTAGCAGGTTCCCGATAGGGTCGAGTTGATTGAACTTCTCTCTGAGACTCCAGTCCCCCTTTTCAGGTGGTGGAACGTCTAGCAGAAAGAATATGGCTATAACCGCAAGGCCTCCTAGGGGCAAGTTGATATAGAAACACCACCTCCAGCTGACCTCCGTGGTAAATACTCCACCAAGAATTGGGCCCAACACTGATGATATGCCGATGATAGCACCAACGGCTCCTTGAAACACCGGTCGCAAGCGGAGGGGCACAGTAAGAGCGATGATAATAACAGCCCCGGAGTATATGCCTGCTGTTCCGAGTCCTGCTATCGCGCGGCCCAGGATGAGTATGAAGGAGGAGGGTGCAGCACCGCAGATAGCGGAGCCGACCTCGAAAATAAAGATGGAGAGAAGGAAAACCCATTTAATCGGATAGAAGGTGTAGATGCGACCGTATGTAAGCTGAGATGCAGACGCTGCTAACATATACGAGCTTCCATACCAGCCAATATCGGCAATACTATGGAAATGATCTGTGATCTTCGGAGTTGCCGTAGCCACGATCAAGCGGTCCTGCGCATGCCCGGTTATAGGGTAAGTTATTGAGAAGATATAAATTGTGACTTTTCAGGCTTACCAGAGAGACGAGAAATACAGCAATGTACAAAGCGAGGGCGACAAGGATGGTTTTGGCAAGTGGGGGATATGTCGGTGAGCCGACAGTTTCTATCTGCTGTGGCACATCTATACCACTAGATGAGGTAGAGCCAGACAAGACTTCTTCCACAACAGTCTCCTTCTCACATACTGCTCCACTGCTATCTTGAATAGGTGATAGACCAGACATCGGAACTGGCTGGCTGATATTGAAGGTGAGAGGTGAACACAAGGTCACAGATGAGCAGTTGAGGGCAGGAAAAGTGAATTGGATGCTCTAATAGAAGCTGGGGTCTCACAGCAGTGCTACGAGCTTTGTAGGATGTTTTTGTGCTTGATTTGTGTTGCGTCCGGAGAGTGATGAGGCCGAGGTTGGAAATACAAGAAACAAACCATAAAGGTTGCTTTTAGTGGCGCTTTGTGTTCCTCTACAAGGATCCATACGATGCGTGATGTGGTTGTTCAGACACAGCATACGCGGTCTTCCATAAAATGTCTCAGGAACCGGCAATATCAAAATATCCTCTATTGGCCTGTTTCGGATTATGCAATAGTGTTGATTAAGCCCCTGATGAACCGGTGAGAAGCACTCCAGGTGCGGATGTCATTTATATCGCTGGAAGCCGACTCGTCTCGTCCTGATCGCCGGTGAATAGGACTCCGAAGTAGCTGGCGGCATCTAAAGCATCAGATATTAAACATCACATTCGAGTTTCGTTTCTGAGTTTTCTGCTCTCTGACAATGGTTTTCATAGAACTAGGGACAACGCGATGTTGGGTATGAATCTTATTGACCCCAAGGGCCGATGCGACCAGTCAAAAGTTGTTTATGCAACTAACCTTGTCCATAATTCCTGACATGAAACAGTACTAGAATACATATGATGTTATGGGGTTCTTAAGATATCGTACGTACAATCTAGGAAAGCTAATTGAGGAATGTCTAAGCACCCGGGACGTACCCGAGGCTCCTGGCTATGCTGCCGGAGGGTTCCGTGGAGAATCCGGATATGCGGCACTGCTAATCGGTTAAATCCCTGGATGATTTGCATAATATTCAAAATCGATGCATGCACGACGAGCCAGGATAATCGACTCCGAGAACTGCTACTAAGGTGCTTTTATTGCGCCTATCGTTCAGGGTGGTGAATAATCCAAATGAGGAAGAAGAGTACTGTTTCCGATCTAGCTAGGAGGTTCCGCATCGGTTTCCAGTCTATGGCCGTGTAGACCCACGAACACGTCAACACAATATTTCAATAGTCGCCTATGTTATATCTACCGAATGACAGCGAACCTAGACATGCTAAAAGAGGCGGGTAAGTTCGTGGGGGAAAAGGGTCCAGTTGCATTCGAAACACGACTCACCTAGTTTTTTCTGTATTGGATAAGATCTAAGGATACCTAAATTTACGTAAATAGCACGTAGCTCATCTAATGCAAGCAGATACGCACTTTTGAGTACAGCTAAGATACATGAGATTGAATAAGAGCTTACAAGCAATGGTATATGAGCGCTGGTTGAAGGTGGAAGACCCAAGATCCCTGCAGCTTCTACCTGTAAGGCTCTGTAACATTAACCCAATTGGAAAGGATCCCTGTCACATAATTAGGTGGCGTTGAGGGCAACATTGGCCTCATTTTAAATATACCATAATCTCATGCGACCCCAGCCATGCTTCACAAGAGAACTTACCCGCCTGGTCTCGCTGAACTTCGAGGTCAGTCACTGGTTGTGATCAGACTCTCGTACACAAAAGGACTAGGTCTCCCAGCAGAGAACCAGGCCTCTGAGGCCAGATGGGTCTTATTTCAAGTCTCTTCTTGTTCGTTTGCATGGCTGTGGTCTACTTCGTACTTTTTGACCTTATGGCGCGCCGGTATCACGTTCTTAAAAGTTTCAACGGTAATGTCTGGCACCAATAATTACTTTCTGGGAATACTGGTCTGAGAGAGCCCAGATGTTATTGTAAGGTGACTGTTGTCAATGTAGCCATGGTGTGCGAATGAACTGGTACTGATGGGGATTCCTAGCCGAACAGAGAAAAACTATAATCAGGCTACCTGCCTGTGAAGGTGAGCTTGGGATACATGCAATTCTTCTACAAGAGTTTTGCTTGATTATGTTATTACTTTAAGCCACCAAACAAGGATGTGTTTCTGAATATACCAGAGGGCGATTGGCTTTTGTTAGCATTTTATGTACTATAAAGAACGTAAGGATATATACAAGGATTTCACGCATTTCGCGAATCCCAGAAACTGTGTCACCGTATCGCTCAGTGACGAGCGAGAAGTTTCTGGGCATTTGCGTAGTATATTCGGTCCCTCAAGTCTTGGTCTAGAGGGTACTCATCCAGAGCCTCCTTGAACCCAGCAATTTTGTTGTTATTGGCGTAAGGAAAATCGGAACCTGCAGCTGTTAGCATCAGATCACAGTATGTATGCGATAGGTCTTGGGAAAGGGGCGGCGTCCTTACCATATACAATGTGATCATGAGGCACGAGGCTCAGTAGAAGAGTCAGCACAGCCGGTGAGCTGGAAAGAGCCAAGTCAAAATAGAATGATTTGAAGTCTTCTACCATCTCATCAGGACCGCGACCATAGGGTTTGTACTCCACCTCTGGGGACTTGGTGACAGTGGTCAGGCGGGAAATCAGGTAAGGGAGAGTGCCACCTGCGTGAGAGAGGATGACTTTGCAGTCAGGAAAAGCCGCCTTTGTTCCTGTAGTAAGGAGGTCCACAGCAGTGCGAGTGGTCTCATGGGGATAATCAATGGCTGGTTGAGGCAGCTGAGGGTTAACACGGTTGGTATCAGCCGGGTGGGTAGGGTGGATGAACACAACGGCTCTGCGACGGTTGAGCTCCTCCCAGATGGGGCGGAAGTCCGGATGACCTAGATAGTGATTTCCGGTGCCGTATCTGGTGAATAGGGTTACACCTTCAGCCTTGAGTACATCTAGACTGTACCGAATTTCTTCGAGTGTGCCCTCGATGTCTAGCAGGCATGGCAATGCCGCAAAGAACCCGAATCTCTCTGGTTGCTTGTCCCTCAATTGGGCCGTATATTCGTTTGCCTGTCGGGCCAAGGCGCGCCGGCTGTTGTCGTTTGGAGCGATGACAGCTCCAGGGGCTGTTAAAGACAAGATCGCTTTCTGGGTTCCATTCTTATTCATAGAAGCCAGTGATGCTTCAGCGCTCCATTCCGGAGTTGGCCAGCCGGAGGGGTCACCTCCTGCATGTTCGACCGCTACGTACATGAAAAAGGTTAAGTCAGTATGGATGTAGGATCATATATAGTCTGAGCGAACGTGGGTTGGGCGTACCTTCGGCATAGAACTGCGGCACAAAGTGATGATGGGTATCGATCTTCGACATTGTTCTTTAAGGCAAGCAAGGTTCAGAAAGTGTACTCTATGTACTGATAGGATGGGAACGATTTGACAGAAAATCAATGGTTTATATACAGAAAGTGCATCATCCAAGTTGAGCCACTGCGTCACGTCTCGGGTGCATCCCGAGCAGAAGGTTTACCAGGTTTGCCGAGATATCCGGCCAGCTGTCGGACTCGGCCACAACTACTCGCTATTTCGCAGTGTAAAGAAGACATTGCAAGAAGTCGTGATGATAAAGCCTCAATAGTCTCTAAACATGGCGTATCTTAAGTAGACAATTGTCTCTCTGTACACAAGAAGTCACAAAAGAAAGGGATTGTCTCAACTGCAGATGTTCGGATCGTTCCGGAGCCCGTCCACGATCAGCTGACCGGTGCCACAACGACCAGCTGGCTGGCTCCTGAATAACATCAATATGCAATATCCTGTGACATCAAAGCAAATGTTCTAGTTAGGCTCAGAAAGGGACAAGATGCCCCCAAAATCTAGCGGTGTTGCCAAGCAGCGTACCATGCGTCGGAAAGTCGCATTGGCGTGCGATCCATGCCGGGAGAAAAAGATCCGCTGTGATGGAGGCAAACCGATCTGTGGGTCATGCGACCGAAAGTCCTATGGAATTGCCCAATGCTCATACAGCATGGATAACCCCAGGACCGCTAGTCAAGATGAGTGAGTTATTTCTAATAAAGTAGTCAGTACTTTCGCTGACAGAACAGGTACATCCGGGTCCTACGGTCGCGCATCACTGAACTCGAGGATCTATGTCTACGGGCTGGGGTGTCAGCACCGGATCTACACAGGGACTCACCACACCAGAAAGGCTCACCTTCACATGAACCTCAGTATTCAAATCGGAATCGGCAGTCGACCTCTTCAGGGGTTACCCAAGGTAGTCTAGTGTGTCAAGAGAATGACAGTTCTCTCCACGATGAGCGGCTTTCGGATGGCCGGAGCCTGCATACTTCAAGAACAATCCCAAGAGATCATCCGGCCCAGAATCCTCTATCTTCTCTTCAAGAAGCAGAAGAAGCATCTCAAAGGATGTACAACCACCCTCGGAACGATCCGAACCGCAATACCCTCCGTGGGGAGCAGACCTCCGCATCTCCACACTTTGACACCCCTGGTCGTGTCACCGCAATGGGCCAAATCTCGACGCCAGATGATACTTTGGCATCTCCAGCTCCACCTCGGGAATTCTATGGATCTTCCTCCATTGCATCATTGATGAGATTTGCACGGTTGTCTGTCCCGTTGCAATCTTCGCCCCGGGCCAAAGGTGGTACCAATACCTCAATGGATTACCAGTATCACGAGTCACCTAACACACAGTACCGACTCAATGACTTCACACTCCCACCCCGCTCACTAGCAGATCACCTTCTGAATTGCTTTTTTGACCGCGTGGCCTGCATCTACCCATTCTTCGATCGACCTAGCTTCGAGAAAGCGTACGATAACCTGTGGAAGTCGGAAAGGGATGGTATGAACAAGCTACCAGACATGCATATCGGCCTCGGAGGAAGGTCTGACTCGTCCCCCAAATCGATCGTGCTCCATTGTGCTCTAAATGGGATGTTTGCGCTTGGATGCCATTTCTCAGACCTTCCGCTGCAGGAGCGAGAGGCAACAGCCCACTCCTTCTTCCTCCGCTGCAAACGCTTCGTAGGACTTGATCTCCTCGAGATCCATACAGTCGGAGTAGTTCAGACTCTTCTTATTGTAGCTCTATACTTGCAGAGCAGCCCGTACCCTAGTAGATGCTGGAATGCCATTGGGTTGGCATGCCGCCTCGCCCAGGGCCTGGGCTTACATGAAACTAACAGAGGGTCCTCGATGACAGTATTAGAAACGGAAGTACGGCGCAGAACATGGCATGGATGTGTTATGCTAGATGTGTAAGTGCTCTACTGTGAACGGCTCTATTCAACTGACTGACTCACTGTCTAGGTTCGTGAGCATGACACACGGTCGGCCAAGCATGACCAGCCATCTCGCCCCGATTCCATTGCCTTTTGCCACAGGAAAGGACGTTCCTCTTACTATGGGATTCTACGTGGCAACTATCAAGCTCTATCGAATCCTGGATAGGATTCTTTCAGATGTGTATAACATGTGGCGAGGCCGTTTCAACGAGGAATCAAAACGATCGACACCATGGTCCGAAGGAAACTTCGATTCTCTTTTAGAACTGGAACGGCAGCTACAGTCCTTCAAGGACACCCTACCGTCCTATCTAAGCTGGGGCGCTTCTGGTCGCCCAGAGTGCCACATTGAGGAATCGGATATTGTAGAGCGTCAACGAAACATCCTTCGGTCACGGTAAGCAATCTCACCCTAGCCCAATATTAAAGTATCACATATACTTAGTGTCTCAGGTACTACTACATCCGGCTACTACTCTACCGACCAATCTTTACCCGGGTGTGCTCGGATTATACTTCGCCCCAGCACTCACATGAATCCCGAAAAGACAAACATCCGGCCTGGAAAGATGCCGAGAGCACCCTACAATCCTGCATAGTAGATAAATGTGCAGCTACCTGTGTGTCCACTGCAACTGAGCTTATTCACTTAATCTATGAGACATACTCAACACCATACACTGATTCTTGGTGGTATAATGGCTTTTGTAAGTAGTCATCCATTCTCTCTTTCCTCTTGTTGTGGTAATACGTGCTTCTCTCTCCTCAAGCCTTTATCAGAATATCACACGGTACAAGCCAAAACAGCGAACTGACTATCGGAAACAGACACATCTACATGCGCCCTCGTCCTCATAATGGCCCACTCAGTACCTTCACTATCCGACTCGATCGATATTGTCAGAGTTCAAGAAGCTTGGGAGAAATGCGAGAAGATCCTCGCACACATGGGTACATTCAGCCAATCTGCACGGACATCGCTTCGCTTCTTACAGGCGGCTTTCAGTCAATATGTCCATGGTCGCTCCTCATCTATGCCCATTTCTAATGTGGAATTGAACCCCGATCGGAATCTCACAGGCGAAGCCGATACACACTACCCTGCCCCCGATGGCCCGAGCACTTCATCCTTCCAAGATACCCCTGGCCTGGACTCATCAAACTGGACAGATTCCGGTATCGGCCCCAACACGTTTGAGGATGACCTTGGTCTTCTCTCGTGGATAGATGTTCCAGATATGTGGCACTGGCATCGTGTTGATTCGTGAGCTGTCGGAAGGTGATAAATCATTGATAACGCAAAGTTTCGCTGATGGAAGACATGAAGAAGGATCAAGGCTATCTAAGATTTAAAAACTATGTTAGGCAATCATATATTACGTGCTGTAAATTTCTCCCTGCTAAAGCTATTCCCCCAATAAGCAACTCGTGAGACACCTAGGCAGTGTCAACTAACAGTATTAAGCCATGAATCAACAAACTCCCCAGACTTGACGACCGGTTCCGGTACCTCTCCATCATCAAACTCACCGCCGCCAAACTCACTCATATTATTTTCCCATATCTCCTTAAGCCATTCTTCCTGATAAATGCTTTCCGAGGGTAGTCCTTCTCCACCGAAAAAGTACCACAAGAACACTTGCCCTGAGGCTTCCCTTGAAGCTTCCTGATCAAGCTGTGTTCGTTTAAATTCCCTGCGTGTCTTTAACTGGATATTGTCGAAATGACTCTCTGATACAGCTGGCGTTACTTGTTCCGAGAACCCACTGTCCTGCATGAGAGTACCATCCGGCAAGTACCACACCCAATGATCATACTCATATCCATGCCGGGGGCAGTCCAAGTGTGCCGTGACATAGAGAGCACAGTCCCTTGTGAGAGATGCTCCGCACGGTGCCCAAGGTACTCTAGGTCCATGTTGATAGCTTTCATTGTCCCCGTCGGTCGAAGGGTAATTCGTTAACCGCCAGACATCTTCTCTCAGAATGTAATTTGGATCTTTGCAAGTGTACGGGCCCGATCCTGCAACGTCCATGAAGCTCTGTGGACACCCCGTCCAGGGAAAGGCGACCCGGTCAAGAGGTGGATGACCTCTTCTTACTCTGTGGAGAATTTCTGGGCCTAGGCCACTGGCAATAGCCCCGATCCAGAATGTGGTGAAACGTGGCTGGCGGATTGTACCTATGAATGCAAGGACTTCTAGTCCATTTTCTGGCAAACCACCTAAAACTTCATTGATGATCGGATGTAGCCATGGGCTGACGAGATTGCAGGGGACATCTTGCTCCCAGAATGCTCCACAGAAGGTCGACATCATTACTTCCGGGCTGCAACTCAGAGTCATGTAATAGGGCAAGTCTTCTTTCAAGTTCATCCATTCAGCATCTACGGGTGTTTCAACTGGTTTAGAACCAGTATCTCGGGGAAGAGGCAGTTTGGCAGACAACCCATAATACTTATGTGTGGGGATTGTCAGAGCCATCGTAAGAGCAATGGAGAACTGGCTTTGCAATTCATGCAGACGTGCGAATTCAACAAGTGCCTCAACAGCTCTCTCTGAAGATAAGGGCGTTGGGTCAGGGTCTGGAGAGAGGGCCCCCTTATATTTAATCGAGAAATGCGTTTCGCAGGCACGCGAAACTGACCACGGGGCTAGGAACTCCCCTTGGGGCGTTTGCTTCACTGTAGCTTTCCATCCTTCATTCGGTGCGAGTATTGCAGACCACCAGCGAGCTACGCTCGCGTCCACCTCCCCAACATCGATGACGTGGGCTTGTGAGGAATCGGGTAAACTCTCATTGCTGTATCCTGTCTGGCAGAGAGTGTACTGCATAGAAGAGTCTTCACCTCGCATCTCAACAAGCTGTGCAGATAGTACATAGCACCATCCAAGGGCGAGAATTCCAAGATGGTTTGATCCAATGGCATTTCCTCCGCTCATGCCGTCCCATGAACTGAACGCGTCCTCGATGAAGCTAAAAGATGTAGCAGCAGCAGTGCCAACTTGGACGAAAGTGAGGTGTGATATCTGCTTCTTGAGTTTGCCGCAATCCTGATCTGTAGACAGAGTCCAGATTGAAGAAGCTTCACAGCAAAGACTGCGTATATGAGTCATTCCATAGGGGCGAACGTGAAGCCGTCCAGAACGAACTTGAAGTTTCGGGATTCTGTGTAGAGCGAGACGAGGATTTGTGAACTCCGAACTAAAGCCTGCTTCCCGCAGGTGAAAGGCCAAATTTGCAATTTGATACCAATATTCTCGACTCTGCTCGAGTGCATCTTGAAGTTGTTGCTCCTCCAGTTGGAGAACATTGTTATCGCGAAGGATCTAGTACTAGGATGTTAGCGCAATCGGTCTATCATGTCATTATACACTGACCAAGGATAGTTGCGGTGGCCGTATTTGACGGTCACACTTTTCTCTTAGTGTATCATGCATGGGTGTTTTTATGTAAACAGAGACTTCGATATCAAGGTGTAAGTGTAATCGATGATGCGAAGGAGGGAAACAGAAAGGGGCGGAGGTATGCGGTCAATATGCACGGTGGCCACCGCCTTGGTATCCATGGCTTACAGTACTGCGGCATTTAAGAAGTCCACCACTTTCAAATAACACAAAGCTTCACCTCAACTGAAATGCTGTTTATTATTAGAAAGGCAAAGAAGCTACATGAGAGCAGACGCTGTACATTATATGCATATCGAAAAAGGAAATCAACAGATCGGAGACGGCGAATATATATAGTTTAAAGGGGACTAGTACATGTCCTCTCAAACACACCATGCCCTAATGATGAAAGCTTCAGTCTTCTACTCAGGACTGTGTTGAATATCGTTTGACTACAAACTGACTCCTACGCAGATGTTGTTACACTCCCCGCATATGGCAGACAGCCTGGCTTCACAATGAGCACCTCAAGCCACAACACCTTAGGGGAGTTTCTATATGCATTGACAGCATTATTCAAGATACATAAGATCCAATCCCTCAATTGTAAGCTGATCTGAAAGCACAATGATACTCACAACCACAAACAGAACCCCACCCTCACTCCAAAACACCGTCCCCCTCACACCTCTTCAACGGATACCCATCCCCCAAGCAAGTCGTAACCACCCCCTTGACCCACTCCAGCTTCCCCTCACCGTATGTATAGCTACTATCTTCATAGCTATCCGCCTGATAATACTCAAATGTGCCCCCGTTGCCCGGCTCCCCATTGAACACATACCCACGAGTCCGATGCGTTAGCGGATTACTCACAATCGCGCCCCATTTACCCTTGGGGATCGTCATCGTCACGGTGCCAGTGATCGTGCTCGTCGTGGTCTGCTGGTAGCTGATACTGGTGGTCAGAGAGAGAAAGTCCTCGATGAGACTAAAGTCGGCCGAGGCGCCGGTCGTAATGCTGTTGGCGATGGATTGGCCGGATTGGATGGCGAGGGTGACGGGGGCCTGGTTGGCGTGCGTGATGGTCGACATGGCGATGTCCCAGCCGAGGAAAGTCTGCGGTTCCAGAGGAATTATCAGGTTTGTGGAGCTTCCGCGCTTGGTGGTGGTGTTGTTCCTGTGGCTGGAGGCGCTGGTGATGAGCAGGGGTGGTGTGCTGTCATTGTTGGTGGATGGCAGGTAGGTGAGGTTTGGGATCTGGGACTTGAGGTCGGCTTTCTTGATGGTCTTAGTGGTGTTGTTGCTTAGGAGGATGATGATTGCTTCGTCGGGACCGCAGATGGTGGTTGTATTGGCGATTGGTACAGCGGAGGAAAGGGTTGCGGAAAGAATGGTCACGAGGAATGGGAGCTTCATGGTGTGCGGGTGCTTGATCGGGTTCTTTTTCTGATAGTTATACGGGGCCCCGAACTTGCTGAGTCTGGTCTCGTGTCTTCTATTGAGAATAGTATGGACTTATATATTATATATCCCCAGGCATCTTAAAAGTGCCTGTTATCACCTCTCTACACAACTACTCCTACTACATCATCCAACTCGGCCAAGAAGTATAGACATCGCCAAGATCACGACATACAACATCGATCAACGATGTCCGAAACTCTCACGCAGATCCCCCAGAGTCCCCGAGGAACTCCCGAAGAAACACAAGATCGACAATCACAAGTCGCACAAGACTAGTTATGCAGCCACATTCTACCAAATTGAGTAAACTACACGATCCGCTTCTTGCCCGTAGCCCTAACCAAGACAACCGGTTGTCAATCTCAGCCACGGATCGAGCCGCTATCTATCCAGTCAAGGCTCCAAGTGGGTCCACCCGTTTCACGCCCCAAAACCTTAATAGATGATTTTGTCTCCCGCTGCTCCATTTGATTTAGCTCAGGGGGTTGTGCCATGTGCGTTCCGCCCGTTGAGATAGGAAGAACTCACTGATCGACTACTTGGCAAAGGATGAGACATGCATGTGGATCTGCGGTCAGTCGCTGCTCAGGTGATGTGCTCTGGGATGTGATAGTATTATAGATATAGCTTGAGAGTTGTGGTTGAGTTATATGTTGTCTGAGGATGTCTCGCTTCAGGTTATTGTGATCTTCGTTGCTGGTCTTGGTTTGCTTGAAGGATGGCATGTCGGTGAGATGTATATTAATGATATGACGGTGGCGATATCATGGCGGAAGATACTCGGAATTACTGTTCCTTCGACGTGGTAGGAGAGTCGGAGAGGAATGATGTTCTAGCAGATGCTGAGAGACTTGGCTAGAGACATCATATATTGCGGGTTTTCCTGAGCTGTAGTCAGTCAATTTCGACAAGATATTAAGGACTACCCTGAACCAGATTTCAACGACACGCACTCCTCTTTCTTCAGAGTTCACAAGCACAATGAAGCATTTTGCAGCTCTCTTTGTCACAGTCTTCGCTACTGGGTAGGCATCAGGTTCCATTCTTCGAGATGCAACTCAGCCACTAACATAGTGCAGTGCGCTAGCAGACCTCCATTACACAGGACTCTGCTATGACTCGCCTGGTAAGGACGTGGTTAGTTATCCCATTCCATAATTCTCATGGGAATTCTGTTTATTGAACGGAAACTTGTACAGAAAGTCTTCAACAAGGCAGCAACGGAGAAGGCCTGCGCTTCTTACAAGAACCGCAACACAGGCAGCCAACAGTGGGACCAATGTCCGGATTGCACAGTACTAAGTGACCAAGAACTTTTGTACTACTGCAAGTCCGAGGGTCAACACATCGGAGGAGACGAACTATCATATTACTGTGGACAGGCGGGTGCGGATGGAAGTTTGGCGTGGTGATGTTACAGTCTCGAGTTCAGGCAGTTACTCAATCTACAGATAGCATAACAACCAAGCATAAAGAGTTTTCCCCACTATTTAGCTGTCACTTATGCAAAGTGGGTGCACAGTACTTTTGATCAGAAGTATCGGAATGTGGCCGCGATCGCCCCTCATAGTTCCAATAAAAGCTAAGACATCAGACTAGGCCAACCTCACTCACCTAACCAGATCCTTCGTCCCTTCGCTTTCTTCACACTAAGCAACAAAACCAACCAGGTTTCCCATCCTTCTGTACCTATAGTGTTCAATTTACATTCGGCTGCCGAAGTTCTTCCATGCCCAGCACAAATAGATGAATTTCTCATCTGCCGAGTCAAGCCTGCCATAACCCTCCTGCAGATCAGCTTGAGACGCTCAGTTCGCTTGCACACTAAGTCAAATAGACTGTGCTTCCTATTGGATACTATTATCAAGACTTATCAGGCTAGAGCAGGGGCTGAATGACTAACCTATTTCCAGCTACCGGTCCTGACGACTCTCGGACGCGAACGGACGGAATCCTTCCGATCAGGAAAGTTCACATGTGTACCTAACCCCTGCCCTTTTAATCTGCTTTATGTGCCTGGGACCTATATGAGAGGAGAGTAAAAAAACTTTGTTTCTCTTCTCCGTTGTTGGATAATGTTTGTGTGCCGCTGCTATGAGCGCCACCAGCACCGCTGTCTTGACAGGGACAGGCACGGGCGTTATCCCTGCACCTGTGGGTGTAACGCCTGATTTAGACAGTCCAGAGAAGCACTATTATACTGCGAACCTGGTTGTGGTCATTATAGGTGTAACAATCAGTACGTTAGGTCTCCTGGTGAGACTATATACGCGGGTGGTTATTGTGCGGAAGTGGCTCCTTGATGACGGTGAGTGTGCCCGATGTACCTTTAATGATTGATGTATGCAAATATGTCCTCGAGGATTTCCAGTCACATGAATTGCTGACAGGAGATTTCATGTAGTCGTCATTGTATTATCATGGGTCAGTAAACCACCCTCTCAACACCAATACGATGACTGATCATGATGAATTCAAAGATTTTCGCAATATTAACTCAATCCCTACTCCAATGTACGCACCATCACTTACATTTCAACCGAGCCCAGCTCAATCCTAACTCAAACACGTCCATACAACAGGGGGCTACACCAACGCCGGCCTAGGCGTCCACGAATGGGACCTCACCCCTACCGTATACAACCGAACCCTCCGAGTACACACCCCATCCCCGACCCAACATTCTCCCTCATCCACCCCCTAACAACGTCTCAAAAACAACTAGGTCATCCTCCTCGGCGCAATAATGTATATTCCCGCCCTCGGTCTATCCAAAATCTCCCTCATTATTCTCTACTACCGGCTCTCCGATATGCAACGAAATTGGCGCATAACCCTATGGGGCATGACCGCCTTCGTCGTCGCCTACATGATTGTCCTTGAATGTTTATTTCTGTTTACTTGCGAGCCAGTACATAAGTCTTGGTACCCTGACATAGACGGACGCTGCTGGAGTAAAGCCCCGATCTTCATGGCGGGCGTGGTGGCAAGTATGTTTATTGATTTGGTATTGCTGGTCATGCCGCTACCTATTGTTCTGAAGTTGCAAATGACCTCAAAGAAGAGGTTTGGGCTGATTCTTATGTTTGGGTTGGGAGGTTTGTACGTTTGATCTTTCTCTTTGGACTTGTTTGGACTGGGTTGTAAGTCGTGGCTAATTTTTTATGGTTGTGTTCAGGTCACTAGTTACGAGTACATTGCGATTGGCGGCTACGGTGCCGATGTTGACGCAGCAAGACCAGACATATCTGTTGGGTGGGGTGGCTCTTTGGATGTATGTGATCCCTTTTCCTCTTTTGTTCGTACACTTGAGTGTCCGTTGCTAACATGGTTGCTGGTTCGATAGTAATGTCGAGGCAAGTCTCGTCATCGTCACAGCTTGTGTACCATCATTCCGACAAGTCTTGAGGTTCCATGTGTCTGGATGGCGGAGTGATAGTGGCGGAAGGCTTGATAGGATGTCCAGCACTTGCAATCTTCGCAGTGTGCAGCGGAGACAGGAAGGGTTCACGAATTTGAGTTTTGATCTGGAGATGGATCAAACTGACTCGCGTGGACATGATTCGGCTGGGGCACGGACCTAGAGGGGAAGTCATAGGTGTATTGGGTGGGCTTTTGTGGGCTAAGAGTGTAGGATATAGACCCTCAGATCATTAACGTCACATAAAAGTATATTATTTCCAGTTATTAAGGTTGTCTCGATCGCCGACACAGTCTAGCATGTGGACTACATGAAGCCGTCCTTTTCCGCTTCAATGTTATCTGTCAAAGAACTCTATTGCGGTAAGACATTCGCTTTCTGTACTCCAACCCGGCATGCAAACCCGCGACCTTATTACTATTAGACGATGACACTTCCCACCGATACCGATCATAACAACTGGACTATACTGCACCAAGAAGGCGGCACATAAAGTGCCTTAAAACTGGCTGAATGCTTAATGATGGACTGTTGCTCGCCTGATTCTTGTGGATAGAGGGTATAACACTATTATGAACATCCAGTTAATCCCGGAATTGGCTAATTCAATAACTAAGGGATGCGCTTTCTGACTGTGTTAACTCAGAACCCTAGTCTGTTACCAGATGGCCTAGAGGTTCAAGTTCGGAGAACTAACTGCCTGAAACGCACCAGATTAAAGCCTGACAGTATGATAGACTTAGGCATCAGTAAACTTCTGATTGAATGAAGTAATATTGTAAGTTACTAACACCAAGGCGGTGGAGTACTGCATATATAGCGGGTGCCTTCTTTGTTCGCCTCTTCCTCTTCTACCCCCCCCCCCCCCCCTCTCCTCATTCGGCATATTCACATCGCGAATCACGAATGGTACGATGTATGGCAAAGTTTGGTATCTACACCTTGCAACTGCACGAACGACATCACTTTCTACGAGCGGCGAAAGTTGAGGGAACTTACGCCCCATCCTTCACGGAAAAGTTCTCATCTGATGTGAGGGGTCTTGAATCGATACCTTGCAGCCGGCAACTAGCTGGATTGGTAGGCAATGTACAGGACAACATATGCAAGGTGCTACGGAGCAATGGTTACTAGCCTACGTCATACTTGCCATAACATCCACCTTGCTTTGACGCACGGCTACGGAAAGCTGAAGAGTAGGTAGCTGATTCATCATTCTGCTTACCTGAAGAAGGCGGCAACAACGTACTTATTCCCCGGGGCATCGGCACTGGCACAAGCGCAGGCACCACCGTCAAGACTACTGTACACCAAGTATATGACGTGTTCGGCCATCGACCATGCCAGTTTCCTCGCTACATATTCTGGATTTCAGCTTTTCAAACCCTTATACACTAACATTTGATCCGTATGGCCCATTTGCTGTTCTATATCGACTCTTGTTTTCAAGATGCGGGTCAGTATCAGAGAAAGACCTCTCGAATTACGCCAACAAGAGAGTCCTTATTACTGGCGGAACCAGTGGGTGTGGGTTGGAGTGCACAAAGGCATTTGCTCGTGCCGGTGCCCATGTAATCGTGACAGCAAGGAATAATGAGAAGGGCGAAGTTCTGAGAGACGAAATCATGAAAGAAACAGAGCCTCTCCATATTACACCCAAAGTCGACGTCTTGGAATTGGAAATGGGTTCCGAAGATTCTATTACGGCTTTCAATGCTCGCCTGCAAGAGTACCCGTCTCTAGACTTAGTGATCCTGAACGCAGGCATCTACCAAACCGAATTTGTCGTATGCGAAAACACAGGAAGGGAACAGACACTACAGGTAAGGAGGGGAGACCTATCTGTTATAAGCAATATTCAAGACAACGTACCACCACTTCTTCACTACCACAGTCGCTTACTCGACTTCATGAGATATAGGTCAATCTTCTAAGTAACTGCGCTACAGCACTGCTCGCCATCCAGCTGTTACTGCGCCAACCAACGCAAGGTCGTTTATTGATTATCTCATCCGAGGCGCATGCATGGGCAAATCCTCAGCAAAAGTCTTTCACCGCCTTGATGGAAATGCTCAACCAGTCAGATACATATCCCTGTTATGCAAGATACCACATCAGTAAGTTACTGGTCATCCTATGGATGCAGGAGCTGGCACGCAGAATAGATCCAGCACGTGTGCTCATAGCGTCCGCCACACCCGGATTCTGCCGCAGCGGACCTTTCCGTTCGTTTAATGGTAAGACTATCGCCAATTATTTGGAGAGGCTACTTTGCCGGACCCCTGATCAGGGTGCATGGCAGTATCTCACGGCGATCGAAGGCATGAACACAGCAGTGCATGGCTGCTTCTTCGCAGATGGAAAATTTAGGCCGTAAGTCTCCAAGCTAGTCAGTAATATTGGCTGACATGATAACATTTTCATTCAGGTCATCGACCGCGGCAACACTGGCTAGGGAAGAAGGGCTACATGATTCTATGTGGGATAATGTCCTTAAAATGTTGCCTGAATGTGCGCAACATGTAGCACGTGACTTGTCTGGCTAACCAATACTACATTTCGATATCAAATAGACTGTATGTTTGAAAGCTGTTGAGACATGTTGCTTTTGATAATATCTTCGTAACGATAACAAACATAGGGTATTGGCATTATTGACTTGTGGACAAGTGAATTAGGCAAGGTTTCGGTAATGCTGACGCTTGATTATGCGAGAGAGTAACTTATAACGAAGCTAGACTGCGCTGATGAATATATCTTGCAACCATGCAACAGTCTCTGTATAGCTCAATCGAAGACAGGGTTGCACAATCATAGTAGCAGTGCAACGCCCACCCGTGACGCACCTAAGGTATAGACGTGTTGAGATTGTTAGCAAATAACTACTGTGCAAATGAGCAAATAGAGGCCAGAAAGGCGTACGACGCTAGGGTCGATTGAACACCTTTGCGCATTTATGTATGTATACAATCCACACCATGCTATATACTGACTATGTTCACCAGACAACA